TTTCCCGGTCCTCAAGGGGACCCTGTGAAAAGCCCTGGCATTGGGACTCCTGACTCAAGACAAATGTACTTTTTTTTTCTTTTGTGGTACCGGGGATCGAACTCAGGATCTTGGGCTTGCAAGCAGGGGCAGTGCCACTGAGCTAAATCCTCGGCCCTGTACTTCATTCTTTATTCTTCAAGAGTTCTTACCCAGTCCCTGGGGTCTAGCCACCATCCAACAGTCTATTTAAGCAAGGAACTAGACACTGTCACCAGAGGATGGCCAGGCTGTTTTCAGGCTTTAGCAATAGCAGGCATATTTGTTTCTGAGGCTCATAGACTTACACAGGGGAGGACCCTTATAATCAAGTCCTCTCATGATATTGAGAGACTACTGAATGCCTCATTACACTCCTGGGTCTCCGAAGCACAGATTTTAAAATATCAGGTTCTCTTATTAAAAGGACCAGGTGTAAATATTATAGCCTGTCAAAGCCTTAACCCTGCTACCTTCCTGCCTGATCCCCGAGAGTTGAGAGAAAATAAACACAATTATACAAAGGTTCTAATCCATAGCCAACAACAGTTAAGGGAAGGGTTAACTAATCAGCATCTCAGTGACCCAGAAGATGAGCTGTTCACTGATGGTAGTTCCTTTGTGCAGGATGGACTCCAAAAGGCAGGTTATGCAGTGACTGGTCATGCAGGAGTGATAATAAGAGTCAGGCCTGTTACCTCAAAATATGAGGCAGAGCTGATGGTCCTCAGCTGAGTGCTGACTTTGACAAGAGATAAGAGAAGAAATATTTATACTGACTCTATGCATTTCATGCGGTCCATGCACATGCTGCAATCAGGAGGAAATGCGGCCTGTTAACTTGTAACAGATCTTCCATCAAACATGCCCCAGAGACTCTACAACTCATTGAGGCTGTTCACCTGCCTCAAGAAGTGGCAGTTATTTACTGCCCAGCCCATCAGGGAAGAACAGCCTCTACTGTTGTGGGCAATGAAACAGGCAAAGGCAACTGCTTCTTGACAAGCTTAGAGTGGCCCCTCTCATAGTCCTCTATAGTCTACTGCCTACTAGCCCACCTGTCTATTCTGACAAGAAAATTCCACAGGTAAAGAAACAGAGATGGGCCCTGAATTCTAAAGGATGGTGGGCCCACCCCAAAGGTTGCCTCTTTCTACCAAGAGGCTTGGAAGAAAGAAAATATGGGGAAAACCGGAAATATTTAAGGATATACATAATACTCACCATTTAGGACAAAAACAAAAACAAAAACACCTTTTAGTTACCAAGTCCTTTCTGGGGCAAAGATTAATGACACAAGAGGTGTTTAAAAAATGTAAAGTGCACCTGAGGATCAATCCTCAAAATGCCTGATTAAAACTGCCAAGAGTACAGTAATTGAGGCAGTTATCCAGGGAAAGTCTTGCAGACTGATTTTACCAAAATGCCAAGAGGCCAACACAGCTAGTTCTTATTAGTTCTGGTTAACACTCACATGCATTGGATAGGAGCCTTTCCTACCCAAAATGAAAAGGTCTGAAGAGTAGTCAAGGTCCTTGGTCCATAGATTATTTCAAGGTTTGGGGTGCCTTAGACTCCCCAAAGTGACTGTGGCTCACCTTCCACTCAAATATTACCCAGGGTCTCAAAAGCTTTGAACATTGGGTATCAGCTTCACTGTATGTGGCAGCCCCAATTGTCAAGACATAAAACATGCTAATGAAATACTCAAGAGACACTTGCTCAAGCTGGCACGAGTATAAGGCCCCTTGGAAACAGCTCTTGCTTGTGGCTCTTACATGGGCCAGAAATGTACCCAGGCTTCAGGGGCTGTCTCCCTTTAAATTTCTATATGGGAGACCCTTCCTCACAAATGACATCCTAATTGAGGAAACTGAGGGAGCCTTAAGATAAGTGAGGACCTTAAGTCCAGTTCCAGCAAATCCTCTCAGCCTCGAAATAGACCCCAGGCCTACTCCATCTAGTGAGCCTCTCTTCTGCCCTGAGACCCTAGGACTGGTCAAGGATCTAGACATGTAAGACCTAAACAAACCCCAGTGAAACAATCCCTACATGGTGATCCTTTCCACCTCCACCACAGTTAAGGTGACAGGACACGACTCCTGGATTCATCATTCCAAAATAAAGCTGCTGACTGCCTTCAAAAGCTGCGACAGCACATCTCACTTCAAGGCCACATCCAAAGCAACCTACACCCATCAACCTGAGGAAGACCTTAAGCTTCTGTTCAAAAAACAAAACAAAGATAAGTGATGCTAAAATCTGTTTACTGGGGATATAGGTAACATCCATTTTCTTACCCCAGTTTCAAGATTTCCTGTATGTCTTGTCTCAAGAGGTTCAATTTTATTCTATAGCCACCAAATAGGACCTCATTAACAGGTCATATATGATCTCTGGTTTCAGGGCTCTTTTTCTGACTTCACTCTAACACAAATTTTTTTTGTTTTTGCCTCTGCACTCTCATCTTGTGTCTTCTACTAGAGAAAGAAATCTATGATTGATAAAGGGTGTCTTAAACATCCTCTGCTTCAATTGTGTGTTTACTGTAGATTTTACATATAATTCTGTTGTGCCTCCAATTCAGCTGCTTTTTTGCCTCTGGGAGGAGATCATTTATTATGCTCACACTTGCCCTAGTTGGGTCCATCCTTTGTCCATTTTCAATGGGACAGAGACACCCACTAAGACCAACAGGGTGGCATAACAATTCATTCGTCCAGATGTCCAAGGGCTCTGACCTCAGGGTATCCTAACTGCTGGGCTGTTTTGCAGACCCCTAGATGGTCACAGCCCCGCCTTGGGTAATAGTCAAACCAGTCCATCACTCACGAGACCTTAAATATGAGAGTTAGTTCCTGAGGACTCCAAACCCTTATGCACTCTACAAAAAATGGTGGAAAAAAATAAAAACAAATGCATCCAGTAACATTTTTAACACTGTCCCTCAAAAAAAGCCCATTCAGGTTATACTCAAAAATCTACCTCCAGCCAATCTGACAATCAGTCTTTTTGCATGTACAGTACTCTACTGCTGAGGGTAACTGAAGAGGGAATATTCCTGTGCTTTCAAAAAAGCCATATGGTCAAGCAAGACTGTGACCCATACTGGCAGATGACACAACCAGTGGAGTAAAAACTACAGGAGCAAAGAGATTCCCTATAAGGTCTCAAATGTAGTCCTTGAGGAGCCTTAGCTGACCTTAACTGACCTTGACAGACAGACAGACAAATTTTTACTGACATGGGTCTTACTTTGACTTGGTCTTAAATACCAAATAGGAAAGTTTAACAAAATCCCAATTAGAGTAATAGCAACATTAAACAAAAAACTAGACATAAAAAGCTGCTCCAAACATTTCACCAGCCCCCTACTGGCAATCTCCAGCTATACTTATAACATCTTAACTTATAGCCATAAGAGGTCATGATTCCCAGTCTCACTAGCTCTTCCAAAAATATGTCTTTTAGCCTGTCTTAGTATATCGTCATTATTTTAATGTACTTTCAGAAAAGTACCTATTAAAGATTTAGCTTCTTTAGAGGTGTGCCAATAATTAAAAATGGCAATATAAATATTCTAGTTTCTAATCTTTGTGGTATAAACTAATTTTCTGTTATCTACTTTGGACTTTATGTTTGTATTATCTGGAGTCAGTCACTACGAAAGATCATCAGGTCTAAATAATAGGTTCTGAGCCCTATAATAAAAATTTTAGTGGCCCAATGGTTACATAAAAACATAGGTATCTTTATTTAATATATTTTTGGCAATTATTATAATTAAAAATTTTCTACTAATAGAGAAATCTATATGCTCTTACACTCCCCCTCTTGTTCTTAGGCAAACATCTCAAGACGTAGAGGTTAACATTAAAGACAACTCATCATTCTATTTTTAATTATTTTGCCACTTAACATGGTTATAACCTTTTGTAACATGGTTATAACATTTGTATCTTTCCAACTTCTCCATTTTATAGTCAAGCTCATGTTCATCTGTGTTATTATTAAAACAATATTGTATATACATTCCTGACAACTTTACTGCATTACCAAACCTACATTCACAAATTAATACAATGTCAGATTCTAATAATTCCTTTATGCTGCTTACTGACTCGTTCTGACACTTTTTTTTTCCTGCAATAGGAGTCAGGGAACCTGCAACTTATTCTACAGGTAGAGTAGGTTTAGATCCTTTATCTCTACTTTGGGAACCTTCTCAGATGCTGTTTGGTGACACAACCATAAAAGTTAAGTTTAATACTATATTTCCTTCCTCTTAGATACTAACAATTGAAAGGTTATTTCTTAAGTTTAAAAATTATTTTTGTAAGAAGTACATGATGATCTTTGTGTTCTGATATTCTGAAAACCTACATAAAAAGCTAAAGTTAATCACTCTTTTAAAGAACTATCATATGGCTACACAAGTAATACTGTTTTGGTATCAGTTATATCTATGCATTGAGGAAAACACTCCTTTAATAAATAAAAGAAAGCACAGCTCAGGACCATGACAGAGTGTAATAAATTTGGCTGTGTTATTAGGAAAACACTTAACAGAAGTATAAGGCATGGCAAATTCACATACTTTTAGGGTTAAAACAGACTGTATCTATTAACTAAATACCCTCCTCCAAGAAGCCCTAGGAATGCATGCCACAGGTCTCCTGAATCTCACTGAAATGTTCAACATTAGACCTAAAACATAACACAGAAAGCAAGGGCCAAGAGTCACACACAATCACTTTAGAGGTAAGAGGGCAAATGACATGACCTGTTAGTTTTTGTGTATAGCTCACTCTAAAAATGTGGCAACATTCAATTTTAGTCCTTAGCTAAATAATTTATGTTATATGATTCCAAAATTTTATGCTTATTTAAAGCAAAAATCTAAATTACACAAGTCCATGTGGGTTGACCAAGTATAACAATATTTAAATAAACTTGATATTTTAAATTGAGTATTTTATTACCTAGTTCCAAAACATCTGAAGGATCAAGATGTAAACTCTTGTTGCAAATTTGATTCACCTTCTCCAATACTGTTATATCTTTCACCTGTGAATACTTCTGAACGTAGAAGTGGCAAGGATGTATTACATGGCTCACAAAAACCAGCTCTGGAGAACCTGGATAAGAATCAATATTAACACACCATTAATAAAATAGGAGCTAGGAAAGAATTCATAAAAGGTAATCAATTATAATATCCTCTAAAATAACAAGTGTAACATTGAAACTACAGAATATTTAGGCTTCATGAAAGAGTCCCAACCCAAAATATCTGACAAAACAAGTGGACCACTTTCAATATTCTTTAGCAACCTGAACTGCAAATACTTTATAGAATATGCCTTGCAAGCTAGACAAAATTACAGTTCATGTGGTAAATAGGTTCTAAAGTCATAATACAGAAAACTTCAGAATGTATTTACGAACATGTTTAGAACGCAGAATGTAACTAAAAGGCTAAAAGAGATCTTTAACCACTTAACAGTTTACCACAAGTGTCACTTGGGCAGCACGTTGATGTACTGATTATCCTGAGCACTGCTCAGGCAGGTGTCATTTCAACGAGTTGTTTCTTGTATTGAATAAATTTGATAAAATTGTCATTTTTATATTCCCTGTTATATTATTTTATAAAAATAATAAAAAATACAATTTTTGGTCATCTTGTATTTAAATCATTAGACTGATAAGTGGTTAAAAATTATGATTTTTTTTTCTTTTACATATAAGCAACTTCTCAATTTACTCATGCTGAGAGCAAAAACTGCCATGCCTTCCTCTCCTGAGCTCAGATCAATGAGCAGAGGATCTAGTGCCTCTGTCAGAAAACTATCGGTCTGAGAGGAACATGCAGATTCTGGGCCTGAGGTGTCAAGGTCTGGTTTTCTTTGCACGAAGCAAAGGAGGGGACCAAGAATGGCTGGGGTACGAAATAGCATTAAGATTTTCTTGTTCATTGTCTCTTTCTCTTAATAAAAACCCTTGTTCATCTGAACAAGGTGAAGCAAAGACTTGAGACAAAGGGCTTTTTGTTGCATTTGAAGTTAGCTTTTTTCTTTCATCAAAATCGCCCCCCATATTTCTCGGGAGCAATGGAGCAGTACGGACCTGAGCAGCTGGTAAGAAGAACCCTACTGATAATGATTAGGTTTCTAAGACAGGCCACAAAAGCCAGTCCAATCTATACTATACTTGCAGAACCAAGACAGCTTATAACTACCCTAAATCCCAAGGCTCATAAATCCGGTTAGAGAGGTGTGCAAGAGTATCTGCGCAAAGTCAATATACTGGTCTGGGAGAGGTGGATTAGAAAGAGGTAATGACAGTACGAAATTTTTCTACATATAGGAGTAATTAAATCAAGTATGTCTACTGACACAAAAGATTTCCAAAGTATAATGTTTAGGAAGGAATGTCAAAAAAAATGTATATTGTAAAAAAAAATGACACTAGGTTAAAAAAGACTAGAAAATCAAGATTTTAAAATTGTACTTAAAAAAATTATAGCTTTAAGACAAATTTTTCTTTCCTTCAGAAGCCACCTTTAGTATGTGACCTCTCGCCATCTTTATAAAAAAGTGTTAAATTCCTTTACAATAACCTGTAAATTTCTGGATACTAAACCCTTTTTACCTGTAAAGTGTCCTTTTTTTCTAGCCCAAAAAAGCAGCTGCATTGGAGATACGTCTTAACTTTAAACCTATATAGATAGCTTGCACTGTAACCTGGCATACAGTGAGAATACACATCCAGGATCACTCATCTTGAAGGTAGTCTTTAAAGGTGACCTACTCTGGCTTATAACGTGCCTCATTTCTTTTGAGTACCCACACACTGCACTTGAGTGCATCCTATATCTACCTCTAATAAATCCTTTTCATGCTTCTTTTATTGACATACCCTATAATTCTTTTTCTGGGATGAGAGTCAGCAAACTTACAAACCTATTTTAAAAGGGTGGGTTAAATTCCTTATTTCAGCCTCTGAGACCCTCAGACCCAGCCTGGTGACATATAGTACGCTGTGCTTTGTGTTTAAAAAAAGAGAAAAAGGAAGAAAAGAAAACTAAGGTACTCAGCAGTACCGTGCCTGTCTGGCAAGTGCAAGGTCCTGAGTTTGATTTCCGGTACTGAAAAAGAAAAGAAAAAAAGAAAACTAGGGTAGAAAAATAACTTATGTGTATTTATTTGTGTAGGCATAAAAAAACTATAAGGAAAGAAAGGGCTGAAGACAATGGGAATAGTGTAGGGTGAAGTGGCACAGAGTATTTTAATTAATTTTTCGAACACATTTATATCTAATTCTTGAACAAAGACTGGGATGGCATGGAATTGAGTACAGCCAAGTATAGAAACAAGATAGAAACTGAAAAAATGGACAATTTTATCTATATAATATATACCACAAAGAGTAATACTCATATTGAAGATAAGGTAAAAAACTGTGTAACTGGAGTGATAGCTGTAAGAAGTGTAAGTTTCAGAAATAATTTTGCCAACAAGAGTTAAATTTTTTGCCACTAAACTGGGCGTGGTGCTGAGTCCTATAATCTCAGCATTCTGGGGGATGAACGCAGGTGGATCACAGGTTCAAGCCCACCTTTGATAACTTAGTAAGATCCTGTTCTCAAAGTAAAAATAAAAAAAAGGCTAGGGATGTAGCTCACTGTGTAGGCCCTAGGTTCAATCCTCAATATGAGGTACGGCAGGGAACGCTTCCACTGAAAGGGAAGAAGTTTTAGTAAGATCCATTTTGCTTACTGCCTCACACAGATAAGTTACTATACATACAACAAAGTTCACTCCCTCAAGCTCATACAGTTGTTACAGTACCTGCTTCTGATCCAAAAGGAAGAGCTGACTCTTTCTGAAGAGGTTTTTTACAATGGCTAGGAGTCTCCACAAGATCATCTGTGAAGCATGCTTCATCAAAGTAAGAAATAAAGACAGTTGTATTAATTTTATTAATGTTAACGGTGGCATTCCAGTGTTTAAAACCTGTACTTGAATTGGCAAAAAATACCGGAATGGCAAAACCTTTGTATCAGTAAGTAAAGTCATAACAAGTAAGTCACTGAAATATCAATGATATTAATACAGTGGAAAGAAGAGTGTATCCTTTTTTTGTATTCAAAATGTCATTCTGGAGAGTCAATCAATAAAACAATGCTGGAAAAAAATGGTCATAGAGAAGACTGTTTGCATAGAATTACTTAAGAGTATTGTTTCACTCCCACGTTATTGGCAGAATACCAACACTGGAAACTAATCAACAACTGTGGTAAATTTAAATGTAATGAAATAGATGACATGACATTCATAGTAGTTTATTTTAAAACAGATTAAATTTAAAAAGACAAAGATATAAGAGAAATTGTTCTTAATTGATGGACAAAGTAATAAAAATGCTCCCATAAGTCGCATCTCTCTCATTTATATTTATAGTATTTACAAGAAGTTAGGAACATTGAAAAAAAATCAAATACCCTAATTAAATCAAATATTAAGTTTGCACCCCTGAGGTTGGCTATATTATTTCATCAAAAATTAAAATTATCTTAACTTTGGAAAATCTGAAAGTAGAAGCATAGAACCAATAGATTCCAACTCATAATGAGCATGAAAGATTATAACAGCAATACATTTCTGTTAAGTATATTAAACAATTTTTTCTAACTATAGATTAAAAATACCAATTGTTTCTAATTATAGAATATAGATTTTATATTATCACTCACATTCCAGGTTTTCTTCAATAATTTCTTCAATTATCACATCAGGGCTCAAGCTAGTCTGAGGTAGCACAGCAATGGTTTTAGGGGATGTCACTGCCACCACTTCTTTCTGTGGCTGGTTGTTTTTCCATTCAGGTTGTATGTCACCATTCTCTGGTTGCAAAGGAGATGCTAGTGCTTCACTGCTCGGGAAAGACAAGTCAACCTGTTTCTTTTCCAGTGATGAGTATGTATCATAAGAAAGTTCTTTTTTACTATTATACTTCTTTTGAACATTATGTCCAGCTTCATTTTCTTGGGAATAACATCTGTTTAAAAATACAAAGTACGGCTATTTTGGTATTCACCTTCAAGTCATTTCCTCTCCACGTAACAGCTGGTATTGTGACACATACAAAAGGTAAAAGCTATCTAGGTGACCCAGAAGTATTTTTAATTTTTTATTGCTGCTATTGAATTTATTACAGTAAGTCAACTACCAAGTGCTGTACTCTATTCCTAGGCAATGTACTGTAGGTATGAAGTCAAAATTGATATTAATCTGCATCCAATGGGTATGGTTACTAAACAGCTACTAACCCACAGCTACTCATCCACTCTATTTTTACATCTTCACATATCCAGTTTTATGCTATCTAATCTATAATTTTACAAACATGAGTTCAGACTGATAAAGCTTGTATTTCATTTAATCCAGGTAATCTAGCTTCTTCAAAGAATACTGCTTAAAGCATTTTAGAAATAAGGAATTACAATGCCACCTGAATTTAGCAGTGACACATTAATGTCTTTTCCAACTCAGGGCATGCATTTAACAAAATTAATATATTTTGCATAAGGACATACACACCTTTTGAGAGACACAAACACATATAAATAACTCTGCACTCTGAACACTTTTCAGATCTTATTGAGATTTTTAATACTGTTAACCAACTCCAGTCTTGGGAACTTTTGACTTGTAGAATACCACTTTCTTTCATTCTCCTTCAATCTCTGCCTGTTCCATCTCAGTTTTGTTTTTTGCAGGGGTTATTCTTTTTACTTCTTTAAATGTCAGTATTTTTCCACGGTACTGTCCTTGACCTATTTCAACATTTGCTCTTACTAAAAAAACCCACGGCTTACTACTTGAAAATAGGAAAAAAAATTTAAGCCAGTCTGTCAGAGTTAAAGTGAATAGAAGATCAACAAAGACTCTCAGAATAGCTTTTTAGTCCTAAACTAATTTAACAGTAACCATATTCAAGTTATGAAATATCTAAAATAACATATTGAGTGTAAAAGTTGCTGATTATCAAAGAGAACACAAAATTCCAACTGCAAAGGCAAACGTGGGGCAGGGTTCACCCAAGCACTGTCTGGGGGAAAATGACTTGGGCTGAAGGACTGGTGTTCCAGTTCCTCTGGTAAGGTGTTCTCTCTGGTGCAGGGGAATATACAGTAGTAGGCTAGTCTCAGCCTGATGCTGTTAAGCTATGATTAATCTTATTCCCTTTATTCCAAATAAGATTGCAAAAAATGCAACTTCTCATAATCTGGCTTCTCACTTTTGTCTAGGTGTTAGAAAAAAAATGCTAATATAAATATTCTAGTCCCTGTTAGCAATTATATTTGTCCACTAAGTTATAGACCGACATTTTGACTATTATTAGTTTTGTGAAACTGGCCTATACGATTTTATCAGGTTTGGAGTGGATATGCTCTTATCTTCAGCCTCCAGAACTATGTGCTAGATTGACTGTTCCTAAGCTAATGAATGTGATAGATTTTAGGGGATTATTTCCCTGGAGACAAATCACACCTACAAGTGAGTGAACTTGTTTTATTTTCTTTTGGGGAGTTTCTGTAGCACCTGTATTCTGGCCACTTCTAAACTCAGATCAAGTTCAAGATCTCTTAGATTCTGGCACAAATACCCAAGTTCCTGCTAGATCTTTCTCCTCAGACGGCCAGTAAATCACAAGACCTCAACACAGTCACTCTATTCACCCTCTCAACTTTTCTGTTTCTTTGAAGACAGGGTCTCACTATGTATTTCAAGCTAGCCTTGAACTCACTATGGAGTGGAGGCTAGCTTTGAACTTGTAGCGCTCCCCCAGCTCAGCCTGCCAGGATTACAGGTGTGCACCACTGTCCCTGGCTTCAATTTACTTTTCTTCTTGTATTCTTGATGAACAGAACCATAATCCATCAATTTAGTCACCAAGACCAGACCCATAAACCACTGAGGATGCTTCCCTTGTCCCTCATTTCTCAAGCATTAGTAAGTTTATTAATTTTACTTAGCATTTATTACATCTATTCTTAATCTCAATCCTGTGCTATGACCAAATGCGGACTGTCATCATTTGCTGAGTCTACTGATGTAAATGCCTAATCCACTGTCACAATACTCCAAATAATTCTTTAAATGGCCACCAGCTTTCAAAATGTAATCTAATTACTTTTACTTTAATGCTTAAAACCTTTTAGAGGTTTTCTATTTTCCAGTGCCTACATGTCTGACAGAACTTGTAGTGAAAACATGCTAAGACCCTTGCTTGCTTGCTTTTGCTGTCTTCTGCTTGCCATGAACCGGTTTTCCTTTATGAAGTCCCTCTGCCAAGCCACCCTGCCTTGGAGTCTCAAGGACCGCTGGGGCTACAGGCCTGCACCACCACGTCATGCTTACTTTTCAGCTTTTGAATCATATTATTCTAAACATCAGTTTTTCCCTTAGGTAACAGGTGCTGTCAGATAATAATGGCACGTTGCTATTATTAGACTTACTTTGTTGAATCTTCAAATTCAATCTTTCCCATACTGCTTAACATACAGATAATCTCATTGCAATTTATATTCAACCTAAAATAAAACATCAGCATATAAAATATTTTAAGTTTATTACTACCTTCTCTAAACAAAAATTAGTTGCTGACATTAAAATAACTATTTTTTTTTTTTTTTTGGTACCAGGGATTGAACGCGGGACCTTGAGCTTGCAAGGTAGGCAGCGGAACCACTGAGCTAAATACCTGGCCCTAAAATAACTAACTTAAAAGAAAACATTTAAATAAACTTTCAAATGTATCACAAATCACAATTATTTTAAGTCGGCTGCTTAGCTGGAAAACATTTTTGGCCCAAAGTTTCAAATCATAACTGCTTGCTCAGTTACTAAATTTAGGGTCCAATACATTTTTTTTGGTATTGGGGATTGAACTCAGGACCTTGCACTTGTGAGGTAGGTGTGATGCCACTGAGCTAAATCCCCAGCCCCCCCAATACTTTTTTATACTTGTTATGGTCTTCTGAACCATGACTTAGCTCACCTGGGAGGGTTCCTCGGTTTTAGAAAACTAACTTGTGATAATTCACTCTCAAATGTTAACTTCAAAGCCCGGATAATCTAGAATAAAAAGAAAAGTGTTATTCATGTGTTAATTTTCTTTCGTCATAAATATTGTGGAAAGGGTAAGATTTTAGAAAGAAAATTATTTTCAGGTATTTAATGTTTTCAAAGGCTCAATTTTGGGCACTTGAAAAAATGGATACAAAGAAGTTTATAACTTTATTAACCCTAAAGGAGTTTAAATTTTTCTGAAGAAATACACTAACAGATTAAGAATACATACCAGCTAATAAATGGGATCTAGCTACAGGATCAGAGAAAATTCTGATCAGACTCATTTTGAAGCTGGGTTGCTATCTTCAAATGATTTCTCTTTTTTTTGCTTCAGCTTCCTAATTAAACTGGGGGAAGACCAAATTTTGTAATTTTTTTCATTGCCTAGTATCTCACACGTAATACACAGGAAATGATCATTGTTTTTAGAATTAGGGCTCAAGGACAGCCAGTCCAAGTAAGAGGGTGGCAAACTCTTTGGCTTTCATTTAAAAGTTAGAGATTGTGGAAGCAGATCAACCATTGGCTTTTGTTCCACACCTTGGTTCAGCCCAAATACTGGATTATCTATGGTAAGACCCCAAGGGACTCTATTTTTGCCCAATTCTATACTGTAGGCACGAGATTAGACAGAAGATCACTGAGGCAATTTTTCTGTTGACTTGTACATTCTGGAAGGGCTAAGGAGAGAAAAACATGAATGAGATCTTGAATTAGATTTTTAAGTTAAGACTTCATCCATATCTAGTTTACTACTCTTTATGTGTCCTCATTTTTTATTCAGATGTCCTAGAAATCTTGCTGTAGTCTGAATCCATGTATTCCCCCAAAGGTCTGTGTGATAAAGATTTGGCCTCCATCATGGCAGTACTGGGAGGCAGGGCCTAGTGGGAAGGGCAGGCCATGTCCTCAAAGGGGACAGTGAGGCTTCAGTCTCTTCTCTCTCTCGTTTGCTGGCAATAAGGCAAGTGGTTTTGCTCTACCATGTGCTCCCACATGATGCGTCCCCACAGCCCCACAGCAATGGAGCCAAACAATCATATGCTAATAGTTTCAAAATTGTGAGCAAAAAAACCCTTTTCTAATTATAAGTTGATCATCTCAGGTATTTATAGCAGTGATGAAAAACTAAGAAATGCAAAACTCAACTTTCACTTCCATGTCATCTTACTTGCTCTCAGACAATGTGTTATAAAGACTACTGTATTTTCCTAAGTGGTAACAAAATAATAAAATACTAAAGAAACTGAATATTCTTTGTCCTAAGAATCCTAAACTGATACCAATACATATGATCCTTGACTTATAGTGGTTCAATTTACGACATTTTGACTTTACAATAATGTGAAAGCAATATGCATTTAGGGGAAATGATACTATAAATTGGAATTTAGATCTTTTTCTTGGGATAGTGATATATAGTCTGATCCTCTCACAACGCTGGACAAGTGGCAGAAAACCTTGTGATCACAATAATAAATACTGTAACACATCAAAAAAGTAAACAATTGCTACTCTACAAGTGTTCCTTAAGTTATGATATTCAATAGGGTTAATTGTATAAATGCATTTTCAACTTACAATGCTTTACTGGGATGTAACCTCATTGTAAATTAATAAGCATCTGTATAGGTTAAGATAATCTGAAACCCCATATTGGAAAACATGTAAAATAAACTACCACAAAACCAATTCACATTGCAAACAATTAAAATTACCTGGTTAAGGTCATAAAATGTCCTCAGAGAAGGTGCTGATTTTAATTCTTTTGCTATCTTCATAGCTGCATCCAAATGATTTTTTTTCCCTTCAATGTAGCTTTTGGCCATTTTTAAATGTGATAAATAATCATCCATATTTCTTACAAGTTCTTCACATAACTTCGTTTTCCTTCATTTAAGACACCAAAGTTATTTCATAGTATTTCATGAACTTTTATGTAAAGGTGAATTTTGGGGGGCAGTGGTGCTGAGGGTTGAACCTAGGGCCTTCATACCAAGGTACCCTGCAACACCTTTTTAAAAAAAAATATTTGAGACAAGGTCTTACTAAGTTACTCACAGTATTTCTGCCTCAGCCTCCTGGGGTGCTAGGATTACAGGCATATGTCACTATTTCTTGCTTATAAAAGTGAATTTACAATGACTAAACAGTATATGAAAGTAATTTCACTAGGTGATCAATTTAAATAACATAGTTAAATGAGACATACAGCAACTGAATAGCTTCTGAAAGGACAATTTTACTAGTTGATAAACATAGTATATAACACTGTTAAATGAGAAATTCAATTGAACTGAAACGTATTATAGTTGAAGGCCATATACACATGATTAGAGAGAAAGAAAATTTTGTAAAAGGAGATAGTTATCATGTATAAATACAGCTATCACAGAATTAGAGGTGAGACTATAGACCTAGCTCATTCTACCCAATACTAAGAGAAATCCTGGCTGTATCTATCCTGTAGATTCTTGTGCCTATACAAAGACATCACTGTATTCACTTGTTACAAGAATTTACCTGCACATTTAAAAATGTCTCTCAACAGATATATATTATACAAATATGAGATTTTAAAACAGAGATCACCAAACCAGAATTTGGATAGCAATTGACCATAATATCCCAAATAACAATTTAGGAAGGGTTATATAGTTATTTCTTCATTACTTCTAGCTCATTACTCAAAACTTTTTATATACATGATAGTGGACTTACATTATGGCAATTAAAAGTATAATTCTTAATTTATTCAATCATTTCAGTCATCAAACAAAATGACTTCTCATTATTTTCCTAAAATCAAATCTGGCCCCTAGAAAATAAAGTACACCAAAACTGAAGAGAATGGATACAGGCCTTCAAGGTGAAAAAACATTCCAAAATCCTTTTGGTAACTGTATATTCAATACCTAGAAATGAAAAATGGTCATTCTGATAAATTACAGAATATTCCTAAAAACTCCTGTACGTGGAAGGACCTTATTATGATGTCAGCAAAATGGTATAGTAGGAAGCCCTCATTTAAGGAGGAAAGGATAGGTAGCTTGGCACAGTGATGCATGCTTATAATCCTAGCACTCTGGGAGGCTGAGGTAGGAGGACTGCAAGTTTGAGGCCACCCTAGGCAACTTAGTACTTAGTGACGTGGTGAAACTGTCTCAAAACAGGGTGGGGGGGCTGTGAATATAGCTCACTATGAAGGCCCTGTTTTCCAACCCAAGTACTTCATGCGAAGAAGGAAGAGGGGTGTATATGTAAAGTAGAAGAATTTTTCTATGCAACTGAAGTTAAGCTGTTAACTCAAAAAAATTGTTAAGTCTTATGACTTTAGGATGTTGTATGTTTTTTCATGAATAATCACAAAGAAACTACCTATAGGATATGCACAAAAAGAAATGACAAAGGAATTAAAATGTGTCACTACAAAAAAAATGAAGTAAACATTAAGGAAAGCAGTAATAGAAGAAACAAGGAAGAACAATAAAAAATCTATAAAACATACAGAAACCAAAAAGGCAAAAATCTGTCCTTAGCAGTAACTACTTTAAATGTAAGTGGATCACATTCATAATCATGACCCAACTATATGTTACAAGGAACTCATTTTAGATCCATGGAAATACACTGTTGAAAGTGAAAAGAAGGAAAAAGGTGTTTGATGCAAATAACCAAAAGAGTTAGGGTCCCTATACTAATATCACACATCATACACCTTAATATTATAAGCATAAATTTGGCAAACATCAGAATCTCAAAATACAAGAAACAAAATTTGATAAATTATGTTTTTATTAAAATTTTTTTTTTTGGTACCAGGGATCGAACTCAGGACCTTGTGCTTGTGAGGGGTGGAATCACTGAGCTAAATCCCCAGCCCATTATTAAAATTTTTTAAATTGAAGGACCTATGGACAAGTCTACAATAATTGAGGACTTCAATATCCACCTTTGATAATGAACAGAATAGATTCAATAGATTACTTTGGCAATGGTATAGATCAATTGGAGATACATATATATATATATATAT